CTTTAATGTTTTACATTTTCTTATTGGATAAAGAAACAGCTAGAGAAGTAGCAGCAAGTTGTGCTCTATACTGAGCATTTATACTTAACAGGAAGAGGAGGGAAAAGGTTTGTGGATGTCAGTCAGAGGGCATATTACTCAAGGGTAGTCCCGTCTCTGCAGGTGTGCTGGATCTGGTCCAAGTCTGTCATCCTTATGTCAACAGTAGCAGCTTTCCCTTGTGCTAGGAGGGAGGGTAAACACCTAGGAAATAGTCTGGGAAATTTGCTTCTGCTGGAGGCCTTTGTGGTGTTAAGAAACAGTAAGGAAAGGAGAGAGTAAGAAGGTTTCTGCAAGCGCATCTGTGCTTCACAGCAGTTTCTGTGGTCTCTCATCGCTCCCCCTTGCCGATGTGGCAGCAGCAGCCGACTTGGCTTAGTTTAGCCTGTGGACAGGAGCAAGCAGATGCACTAATTATTTCCTGTTTCACTAGGGAAGTGATACTGGGTTGGAGCTGGTCAGTGACTTGGAGAGTGACTTTTAGGCAGCCATGAAGAAATAAATTTAAGAAAGATATTTCCAATCTGTAAGTAGAAGAAATTGCACCTTCACATTCCCAGTCTGACGTAAAAGCTTCATGGTCAGTAATGATGACTGTGAGGAGTTTGTGTGGTGCACTTCGTTGGAGATCTTCCCTTCTCATTCCACAAATTCAGCAAGGCTGTACTTAAATCAGTAAGTTGGTTTCTATTGCCTCAGGAGTCCCTGACTCATCTCCTGAAGAATGCAAGTGTGTTTCAGTGTAGCCAGCACATTTCAGAGTCAGCAGCAGAGGACCGTCGTTAGCACCCTGTTCCTCTAACCTTTGGCTCTCACCCCACAGCTTGCCCATGGGGCACAAGCCTCATACTGGCAGCTTGCAGCAGCTTGCAGCAGTGAAGCCAACTGATGGTCCTAGCAGAGAACATCAGGTTTAGAAGAGTGGAGAAAAGCATGAACAAGATTATGAAAGAGGGGATATTTAAGGCTAGGTATGAGGAAAAAATTCTATACTGTGAGTGTGGTGAGATACTGGGACAGGTTGTCCAGGGAGGTTGTGGATGCCCCAACCATGGCAGTGTTGAATGCCAGGCTGGATAAGGCCTTGAACAACCTGGTCTAGTGGGAGGTGTCCCTGCCTATGGCAGGGGAGTTGGGACTAAATTATCTTTAAGGTCCCTTCCAACCCTTGACACTCTATGATTCTTTGAAAAGGGCAGAGCAAGGGCTTAAAATGAGGCTTATGGAGCAAAGAGTTGAATTAATATGTATCGAATCCCAAGACATGAAGATAGGAGAAATAGTGGCACATGAACAGGAGGAGAGATAAATGACAAGCATCAGTTTACAAAGGAAGCAATGTGACAGTAAGATAAGAAAAGAGGTGCTAATGTTCTCTGTATAGAAGTGAAGCTTTTCAATTGGCACTGATGATTACGAATGGAAGTCAGGTTGGACTAAAAGGGCAAAGGGCAAGGGTGATACGAAATCAAAGACAAAAATATTGTTTTGTTTTTAACACCTCACAATTTGAGGATACCTGTAATAATTATTTGCCTTAGTCTTATATTGCCAGATATGCCAGTCACCTGGGGAAGAAAGCTGTTACTTGGCACAAAACCAGTAAATTAGCGAAACAGAAACTGAGGTGCAGTTATCATAGTTGCAAGGTGTAGTGAATTGCACAACTCATGAAAGAATTAAACTCACAAATTTTTGGATATCCATTATTAAAGAAAAGTCTAACACACTGATAAATGAATAATAAAAGAATAATTCATAAGTTTTTTTATCCTGTTTCCTGCGAAACAGGGCTCATAGGAGTGTGCTGTCTTTTCCTCATCAGTCTTTCCCTGTATTAGTAACTTTTGATAGCTACTTTCGAAATCACTTGCAAAAAAGTGGAAGGTCAGTAATACCTTCAGGTAGGCTTTAAAATCAGTAGCTGGCTAGAGGAGATATCAAGTTAGTATGTTTGAGGTAAGCAGAACATTGACATTATATATTCGTTTTGACAACAGCCGGGTCGACAATCCACACATCCTTCCCAGTTACTGTCACAGCATTGCTCTGTCTTGCTCTGCATCCTGAAAGCATGGGAAGACAGCAGAAATGGCAGTGTGGGAGGAGGGTTAGGGACAAATGATGCAGGACCTGAACGGTGAACCAGGCTTCATTATTTTCTTGTTTCTAATAGTATATTTTTTTACAATCTAATTTTCTGACTGCTTTTACCTGAGAATCTCTGAAGCACATAGGTTTTGTTTCATCTACACCATTAAGCAAGTCCAAGGGATTAAAAGATTTTTGTTCTTTTTTTAACGTTGGGTAGATTTGAGAGCTGAAGATACACTTTTATCTTTAATGAAACTGCACACTATTTGAAGTATTTTCAGTTTGAATGTTTCCAGAGTTTAATTAGCAATACATGAGCATTGCTCTACAGCAGTCTTACCTCTGTTTGCTATTTACAGATTTATTGCTTATATGCTATAAATTTGTTCTATATTAATTTAAGGCATACAGACTGTGAGCATTTTTAACCTTCTTTCTTGTCTCTTATTTTCTTAAAATATACTGAGATCCACCAAGATACAATGTAAAATCCATAGTCTTTAATAAATCAGCATTATTTTAAAAAATATTAATAATATTAAATATAATTATAGTACATTTGCTATATTACTCTAAAATATTTGTATAATAAGTATATATTTAATAAGAATATTTATTAAATCTTAATAATTTCACTGGTGGGATTTTTCAGTGGCATTGATATCCTAATCTCAAGTGGCATCCTTACAAAATACGTATTTACTTCTCTTAATAGAGGCTCAGGCTTTAAATTTGAAGATCCCCTGTTATCTAGTCCTAAAAAAATTCCAACTAGAAAATGGCAACTCTTGCCAAACCAGAAAGGATATGGAAATTTTGTGAAAGATCCTATTTTATTTAAATCTCAGCTGCTAACATTAATAACTGCACCAAAAAAAAATTTCATCGTTTCACTATCTGGCAAAAAAAGATGTAAGCAAATAGAAGAGAGCTTAAAAAAGAACAAAAATTATGATGTTTTTGTGTAAATATATACTTTTACTGTGATCTTTGGGAGAGGTAGCATTGAAAAACTACTCTGGATTGTCTAGTTTAATTGCTTGCCAAAGGCAAATTAGCAAGTATACTCAATGTTATATGCTGAAAATGTAGAACTGTAAAATATGTATCCCCCCTTAATTTATATACAAAAAGTAAAAGTCTGATTTTAATTCATATATCTTCACGGCACATGTAGGTGCAAGGATTACATTATCCTTTCATATAATTGTAATTGTTCAGAAATCTATTTTTATCTCACCTTATTTCACATTTCATCCTTATGGGATATTTTGTGTATATGTTTATGGGTGATTTTAATCTCGCAGGTTTTCAAAGCTATATGCGTACAATTTATGAAATCTCTTCAATTTGTAAATTTAATCTCTTTACTTTGTATCTCTAACTGCAGATTTGATTCTGAACATGAGACTTGTTTGTCTTCTGTAGTTTTCTTTTGCTATTTCTTTTGGGATTACATGCAGAAGTGAGATGATTCAGAGAAAAGATTTATTAAAGGTTGATTATTATGGCTGTCTCATGTTGAGTGGATGATAACCAAGCTGGTCCTACTCTTCAACTGCAAGAGGCCAGTAAAAAGGCATTGCATCAGGCAGGAAAACAGTAACTGTAGATGAGAACCTGCCTAATTAACTGGTTTTACAGCAAAAGTTTTCAGTCCACTTCACTGTCCACTTATGTAGACCAAAATTTTGTAAGTTACAATTTTACAGGAGACAGTGTTGAAAACCATGGTAAAATTAAGGTAAATGTTAATAAATTCATGCTGACTGCTACCTGGATCACTTCCCTACTTTTCATGTGTTTGGAAATGTTTTCCAGGAGGATTCATCCCATGCAAATATTTTTATTCATATATATGCATGTGTATGTGTGTACACACAGGTGAGCTGGCTAGAGGTATAATCTACATCATTAATAGGATGCAGTGGTCTGATGTTGAGTGGTTAAGACATGGCAGTTATTCTTAGACATAAAATATTTGGTCAGAATATCCTTTTATTAGTCAAAAATACTCAAAGAGTTATTGAATATTAATTTTGTAAGGGTATGCATTTATATGAAAATGGAATTTATAGTAATTGTATTTAATGTGTCTTTTTTTCTTTGAAAGAGCTTTTATGTACAGAAATGACAGTTTCTTCCAGTAGTGTTTTACAAAAGAATGTCATGTACACTTTGTAGAGCAGTAAGTTTCGTTACATAATATCTATTAATTTCAGAGAACAAAGAAAACAGTTATAATGTTTTCTTAATAGAAAAGACAGTGGCAAAAAAACCCCAAAACTTAATAAAATTCTCATGTAAATTCACATCACTCCTGTGGTTCAGGAGAAATGCATTGTTAAAAAACAATATGAAAATGAATTGTTTGAATTTGAAAATATAGTGTGTCTTCCAGCAGTTAGCATTTAATTAGGTTTATTCCTGATAACTCTGTTGACAGAGTTATCAGAGTTCAAACACTTATGTCTTAGCATAAGTGTTTGAATTTCAAAGAATTTGTTCATTTGTCTACCTGTGACAAACAGAAGTACTGTATGTGCAGGGTAGTCATCAACTTTCTTTGTCAGCAGATGGCCTTGATGATATCTAATGCTGAAAAGGTGTGTCCTGGGGAATTCACACTTTTGGAGGAGTTTGTTCATATGAGAGCTTCCTGTAGCGTTAATGTTTTGAGAACAGATGTCAGTTTGTCATAGATCTCATATGTATGTAACTAATAGATTTTTAAACAGTTGACATTTTTGAATTTGATTTTTTCTTTAAAATTCGAATATGTAAATCGCATTTGTATTTAACATAATTGCAGTAAAAATGACGGAGATGTATTCTGAAAGATTAAATTTACTGTTATTTCTCTTTAGTTTCAGGCACTGCATTCTGTATCAGAAACACTGATTTTGCTAGGAAGGAACAACATATTAAGAAATTCTTTAATATCGCTTCTACTATCAGAAGTACGTCAGTTTGCTGAGCAGCTGTTGCAGGCCCACCAGGTACTGTCGTCTTTTCTTTTGGAGAAGGGCTGAAGAGTGGTGTTGGGGAGTGTTTTGGCTGTATCTGTTTGTTTCATAAAACGTAATAAATGCTTTAGCCTATAGAATATGCAGGTTCAAGAACCCAGAAAATGCTAGGACCTAACTTAAACAGGAAATTCAAAAAAAAAAAAGGAGGTATAAAGTAAAAGAAAATTTCCCTATGGAAAAGTGAAATTATCAGACTGTGTAATAAATAGACTCAATAGGTTTTAAGATTATGCTATATAATTGGAAAAACACTTGAAATAATTAGTTAGAACACTTAGTGTAATGTGTAAATTGTTGATTATGCAGGCAGTACAACTTGGGGACCCACCTGAACAAATTATTTCTGTCTCTTGCTCATGTAAAACTGGAAAGATCATTGCTTCATTTTATTTTATAACTAAATTTCATGTTTCAAATCATAATATTAACTTTCATTATGCAAAAGTTATCCAACACATAATATTGTATTTAGTTTGTTGCAATGAGTAGGAGGTAAGGAGCAGAATACAACTTGTGGTAAAATTTATATTTAGGTTAAGTTTTTTCAGTAAACTATAGAGTTTAAAAAAAGAGAGGAAAAGAGAAAGTGAATGTTGCTTTAACATTTGAAGAAGAGAGGTATGAAATAAATAGGTTTTATAGATTTTTCATGTATTTTTATGTAGTGGGTATGTATTTTATGCAAAGTGTTCAGCCTCACTTGGGATTAGGAGTTGATTGCACACTATCCTAAAACGATCAATAAAAAGAAAGCATGCAGCTTTTTATTTGGTGGCCAATAAATTTATTGATACATACAGAAAACATTCGTCGTAGATATATTCAGCAGTGGTCCAGTTTAACAAATGCCTTAAGTGTTGCTCGAGAACTTTATTATTTTTCTCGCTAGGGTATGATATGATAGTAAGTTCGGACTGCTGTGAGGGAATGTATAATTTCCAACACTGATTTCTACTACTGAAAAGAAAGGCAAATTTTGAAAGAATTAGACAAAGAGCTGTGTCTTACTTTAAGTCACTGTTAGCATGCAAGACATTGATGGCAACCAAAAGTCAACAGACTTCTAACAAATGTAAGAATAGGGAAGTGTAATTAGAAACAATAATTGGTTTTTAAGTTTAAAGAAGTTGTTCGGTTTTAACATTATTAAATCTCACCTGTGTAACAGAATTAGTCATCCTTCCTGGTTTTGCCAGTGGCAGCACAGAACCTTTCAGTGCTCCACAGTGATGTCAAGCTTACACTGAACCTTGCACTTTGCTGACTTGGTTACTGTGGTGCTTAACCTTTCCGTACTGTAATTATTATAAGTATTGCTTTTGTATTTGGTGAAGCCTTAGGAGCTGTGTGTCTGTCTGTAGCTGACACTTTGTAGGACTTTGAAAAGCTGCAGTTCATGTAGGGAAAGTAACTGAAGTTCTTAGCTTGCTGTGAAGTCAGTGTTTTTAAATTTCATGCATTCTTGCATTTAGTCCAAATAGATATATTATGTTCATTTAAAAACTCTTATACATTCTGTATGTGATAATATAATATGGAAATGTATCACAATTGGACTCCAAACTCTGGTATTTCTGATGGCCTGATTTACAGACCTGCTTCTAAATTTCAGACTTTGTGTAGCGTTGTTTTTGGTAGGTACAATTCTAAAAAGGGTTAAAGTATTTTTTTCCTTGTTTTGGAATCAAATCTAATGATACGGTATCAGTTCAAAATACAGAAAATGACAACTTTAAAAAAAATGCTTCTTAAATACTTAAATTAGAAAAGATAATACTTCATTAGCTGACAAGTATCCTAATTGTGGTCTGTTACTTAAGCAACGCTGCTGTTAATTGCAAAGGTGTTTCATGTGTTCCATTGAAAACAGTCAAATTAAGGACTCTGAATTTTAATTCTGATTAGAGATGTGCAAATATGTGGGGTTTGTTTTGCTTTGTTGTTTGTTTGGTTTTTTGTTGGTGTTGGCAGATGGGAGAAATAAAGAAATCATCTGAGGCATGTATTCAGGTTAGCTTGCAATTGACGTTTGAGCATTTGATGAAAACAGAAATTGAAAAAATAACTTATTCATCCAAGCAAATTTCTGTGTATTTATGTTATAGTAATAATTATTTTTTTAAAGTTGAAGATGCTTTTCAACACTGACTTGGACTGAAAACAAAATCCCTTTTAATTTTTCTAAATGAGTAATCTAGATAGCTCAACATTTTCATTTTAACTTCCTCCTTAAGGCTTGAGCTAAGGTCCAAATAGTTTGTCAAATGTATGCATACCAGAATATGCAACTTTATATTCAACCATTTCTTCAATGGGAAGTGTGCTCAGCTCAACCCCTTGTGGGTTTGTGGGTACATCCTTTGATAAATATTGAAAATTTTTTACTTTAGAATTCTGACTGATTTTAGAGAGTTTGAGTCTTCTTGGAGCCAGCTTATCTCTCTATGACCCGCAATTTCAAAAAGCTTCCTATGTCCCTAGCTTTACAATTTAAAAAATCAGGTTGACTATATGAGAGTGTATCGAATAAACTACAACAGAAAAGTACAGAGATTATTATGAATATTTTTATATTCTCTAATTGGCTATATCCATTAATCTTACAATACGAAAAATTAATGTCAAATATATGAATAATATAATGTTGTATATGATATCCCCACATGTTAATATAGAAAATTAGGTAAGAAATATATAAAACAGTATCATTATCCTGATGTTCCACCCGGTTAAAATGAATGTTATGGTTGTAAGCTCTCAGGCCAGTTATTAGTTTGCTTTAATTCATTCAAGTACTTCATCGTGTGCTTAAAGTAAAGCTCCTAGTTCAGCACTTTGCTGAACTTTGCTAAGTCAGGATGCTGACTTCTAGACAAAAGCATATTAATATAAACTCAATTGGATCCCTTAATTTTTACAGATGTTGGATCAGTTTTATCTCTAATAGTAACCTTTCAAGCTTCATAAATACAGTTTATAAGAATACAGTAACTGAACCTTATTGCCCTATGGAATAGAAATCTTCTGATCCCCAATTGGCTTCCTACTACAGACCACAGAAAACTGTAAGATACTAAGATTTCACAGTGATATTGTGGAAGATGGATCATTTTTCAAATGTTGAGCTCCTCACCATGATCTTTCTTTATGATAGCTGTTTCAAAGACAGAGGACCAGAAATGGAAAGCACATATTGGTTTACTGCCCATTTCTAACCCCACAGTGATAATTCCAAGAAATATGAAGAAGAAAATTAAAAACAAGAAAATAGATTTGAAAATAGAAAAAGGAAGATGTACTGTGAGGTTTTGGAAAACTCAGTTATTCAGTAATTGCTGATACATAACTTGTCTAGCATTATGTTTTATATCACATTACTTTCTTTATACTATTTTTCATTTTTTTAAAACTTTAAATATTTTTATCCTGGAGCCATACACTGAATAGTTGTGCGTTGGTTTTGTGGTTTTTGTTTAAACAAAGACACCAAGTTATATGTAATTCTTAATGTTATGTGTAAGTGTTAAGTCCAAATCCAAATGTGGGTGCTGACTTCTAACCTGAAATGATTGGTGCAGTTAGACTTCGACACAAGACATACAGGGTGAGATTCTTCTTCTTTAGATGTTTGTAGTAGACATGGGTGTTTTGATCTGATTTACTTGCTTTAATTTTCCATGATAGCAAAGGGAAGGAAAAAGTCATTTCTTGTCTAACCTATGTTGTTGTACATAACTATTATAATTGTCCCTTGAGTTGTCCGCTTCTCTCATTTGGTTATGAGAAAGGAAACTTACATTGATCAGCTGAAATATAGATATTTGTGTTGAAGGCATCCAAAGTTACGAGATGAAAATCCCATAATATCTCTATGAAATCTCTTTTTGGATTATCTGAGGTGTTATTACCTGAGGTGCCTGATCCTACAGAACAGTTGTAACGGGTAGTCATGCAAAACATACTTCTGTCTGTACACTGACAAATTAAGTAAGTAACGTTATTAGATGTTTGTAGCAAGTTATATTTTAGTTAGGATAATTAATAAGTTAACTTATTTCCCAAGTGTTCAAATTCTCTAAGTGTACACAAGAGGTTGATGATTGATGGTGATTGAATGTGCAGGATGTGTGTATTGAAGCTTCTTTTAAGATGCATTCCAGCTATGGTGTGTGTGACATGTATGCTTCTCCATAGGAAAAGATAAAAGTAGAAAGTTATATAGTTGCCACCCATTGGATCCAGGGATGAGACTTGGTAGTTGTAATTTTGATACCTGTTGGTTGAAGTGATGGTGGCAGTCCTGTCAAAGGGATGGTCTCCTCCCAGCCTTGTTTACTTCTCCTTAAACCTGAGATAGTACCTGAGTACAATAGTACCACCCTTATCTTATCTCAAGTTCCCATAAGGAGGCTTAACTCACAGTCCAATTCCCTGAAATCCAGGAGACATATTCAGGCAGGGAGCAGGCTTCAGTGATCTTAACAATGTTTAAGCCATTAACCATTTCAGTCTCTCACACTTTCTTCTTAAGCCTTTCTCCATGCATCCATTCTGTGTACAGTGGATGTTCTGGGCAGATGTGGTACCTACCTCATGCTTTATTCCATGTGCAAGTGTGTCTGACGTGATGTAGAGAATTCTTCAGATAAGCTCCTCTTTCCAAGAAGTTTACTTCATTTATGGAGTATGGCTTCTCTCTTCAGCCATAAATTTATATATGTTTTCTTACAGGTTAGAAAAAAAAGCTATACATTTTTTTTTTTTTTTTCACAAATAGGGTAGAAAATGGCTAAAATAGTTAATTAAAAAAACAAACAAACAAAACACAACAAAACCCTGAGAATATTATGCAGCTAAAAAAGGTAAATACATTTTGCAGTCTACTGTTGTTTGAGGTACTAAAATGGCTATCAAGCACATTTGGCTCTTTGTAGTTTCTACTGTTGGCTTTACTGACACATCAGGTTACT